ATGATTATAAGGGAATGTTATTTATTTAGAAGGAGTAACAAGGAAAACTGGGCACAAATTAGTAGTGAGAAATCGGAATAGGAAAAGATCTATGACTGATATAAATATTAGAGAAAAGGGTAAAGGGAGTTGTCTTTAGACAACAAAGAGGGGGAGAGGAAAGAAAAGAAAAATTGAGACTCCATAAGACACAGGAGAATGAAGTCAGATGAAGAGATGTGGATAAAGGAACAAGGGAGAATTCCCCTGCTCTATAAACTATATTGGGAGAAAAAAAAGCAAGAGGAAGAGAAGCACACATACACAGACAAAAAAATAAGGGTAAAATAATGGAATAAAATTATGGTGAAAGTGTACAGAAAGAGGAAAACAGCAAAGAATAAAAAAATTAAAAAGTAAAATAAAAAAATGAAAAAATATTACAATCAAATAAAGAATAACAAAAAGAAAGTTTTCTATGTTTTGGCCACATGGCTCTTTTCCTTGGCATAGGATTAAGGAGCAGAGCTCAAATCAGGATGTGTCTTTGTTTGTGCCAGAAGTCTATGGTGGCAGTCCACCCACAGAACAGTGCTGGGCACGGAGATCTGCGGTGAGAACACAGCACCAATGTGAGCTTCCAATCCTGTGTAACTCAGGCTAAACCTGGCCTCTGACCCCAGGAGCCAGGTCTGTGTTCACCAGCCCCTGCCTCTCAGCAGGACGCCCCCGAGTCTGCTCTCCAACTCCCTGCAGTCTCCTGTGACTCTTTCCCTCATCTTCTCTGGAAACTTGGCAGTGTGAAACAGCCAAGTGACTGCTCTGGGACCCAGGTTCAAGCACTCAGCCCTTCCCTACAGTGGCATCCCTGTCAGCTCTTGTTCCACAAATGTGGCTACAGGCACGTGTACCAGGGTACTCACCAAGTATTGACTGTGGAAGCCCACTCTGGAAGTATTGTTCCATGTTGTCCTTGCCTTTTCCAACTGCCAATGATTCTTTTGGTCCTGATGCAGTTCTCTGGATCTGCGTGAGCAAAAAAGGTGTTAGTTTCAATTTGCCTCCTATTTGGTGTCTAGCCAGCCACTGTCAGCAGCACTGTGCAGTCTCTCCTCCATGGTGTGACCTATTTCTTCTATATCACTTAATCCTATTTTCTTCTCCTCTGTTAATTCCCTCATGGTTCCTGGGTAGCCTCCACTCACTTTGATTTTTCTTCAAGGTAGTGTTTTCCAGACTCTAGACATGTGGTCCTAGAGAAGCTGAGTTGCTGACATTCACTGCTCAGCTATTTTGGGACTCCTCTGCATCAATCATTTTAGAAATCACTTTATATTTCTGGCTTTTTTATTGACTTTATAATAAACTAAATAATATCTGTAGGACTTTTTAAAAAATTATGTGAGCTGCACCCATTGGGCCAGATTATACCTGTATCTTTTACTGTTAAGTGTTGGACTTTATATTTATAATTGTTATTATTGTTCCTATCATATGCATTTGTGGTCTTTATGTTAATTCTTACATTTTTTGTTGTCTGCAAATTTGGAGTTGTGCATTGAAGTTCTCACAAACCATCTCTTTAATAATCTAGTATAGAATTTCCCCCCAAGGTTTATATTAAGATATACTGTCTTTTGTGAAAATTAGGCCAATATTTACAAGTCTGTAGGAACCTTTTAAGTTTTTGCAGTTCTTTATGAGGAGATGATTAGGTGATCACTTTTGCAAGGTCTTTTAGTTTGCTGAGATGTGATTGCCCTGGGCCTGTTGAAGTCATTGAAAGTTATTTGTATTTATTCTTTTTCTTTCTTGGTTTTTATTTTCCTCTTAATCATTTAATTTTATCCTTCTCTGTTTTTAAGTTTATTTTCCCCAATAAAAAGATGGAAAAATATGGAGTTGAATAGTTTTGCTTTCTCTTACACTGTTAATAATATGCACTTCAGCATTTGTCACCATTCAAGCATTGTTTATTGTTGAAATACCAGCTCACTTGCTCCCTATGGAATATGCTGGGATTGAAGCCATGTCCAGTCAGATAGAAACACTATGTTGACACAGCACTACACAGTACACCTTAACATTCACTCATTTAACATCCACATTTGGTGTTTCTTGGGAAAGCTGCAAATGCCTGTGCCCTGAAACAATTATGGTGGTGAAATTATAGTTATCCTTAAAGATTATTGCATGCAGTGTTGGTACTTGGAAGTGGAGTATGTAACAAGTAAATTTAGCCTACTCAGGTATTCAACATAGTGCTTTTTAGTGAATTAAATTGAGAATATTCCTGGGATATATCCTCTGTATTTGTCGTTGCTTTTATGTTTTTGATATTTGGTAGACTTTCATTATATGAGTAATCCTCAGTTGTGGCCCTCAGTCATTGTTAATATTATGTAGGTTTTCTGTAGATTCTTTGATATGTAGTCAGTCATACCATCTATGAAAAGAGGAGTTTATTTCTTCCTTTCTAATGTTTGCCTTTTCTCCCTCCCACCCTTCTTTACTCTTTCTCTCCACCTTGCTGTGCCAGCTAGGGCCTCCAGTATGATGTTGAGTAGGACAGGTGAGATAAGATATCTTTAACTTCTTCCCAGTATCAGAGAATGGTCCTTTGCCATCAAGTATAACATATGGGTTTTTGTAGATGCCCTCTTTTGAAATGAGGAACTTACATTTTTCATTTTCTACGAGTTTTTATAATGAACAAATGTTCAGTTTTGTCAAATGGTTGTCTTTAAATCTACCATTGCTATTTTTGTCTATTTGTCTCATCTTTACTTGGTTCTCTTTTTCTTCTTGCTGTCCCTTTTGTTGGATTAACTGTATTTATGATTCCATTTTTCTGTTGTTGGATTATTATACCTGTTTTTATTTTTTAGTAATTGTCTTATGGTTCATAATATGCATATTTAACATCATAATCTGCTTTCAAGTAATTATATACTTAGTACATATTATAAGAACCTTTCAATGATTTATTTCTGTTTCTTTTCTTAGGGTCTTTGTATTATTGTTTTTTATATATTTTACTTCCCTCTATATTATTAACAGCCTAATACATTGTTTTGTTTTTTTTTTAAACTTTTTAAAAATAACTTTATTATCAAACACACGCGCATACAAAAATTAAAACCATTCAAAGAAGAACAATGCAAGGGAAAAAAACTTACAATAATATTCAAATACAGTAGAACTCAACCAAAACAAAACTGAAAAGCACTTAAACATTTTTCCATATAACTTAAAAAAGCACCTCAAGCACCAACAAGACACCAGAGGATGTGATTTGTTTCAGAAAGATCCCCAAAACCAACATGGAACAAATAGTGGTCTGGAAAAAAACTCCAGTTAGCTAGCAGACTCCACATAAGGCAAGCTTCTCCCTAATTTAAATTTCGATACAGTCATATGATATGCGATGGAAACACAATCCAAGAAATATGTTATTAGGCCATTTCATCATGTGTATCCTTATTTACACTTTCAGTTTCTCATACTAGAGAAACTATTCGGTATTTACACATATGTATCCTATTTATTTCACTTCAGAGGATGGCCTCAATATGCATCCATTTAGCGATAAATGTCTCTAGTTTCTTGTTCATTTTTTTTTTTTTTTGGTACTGGGGATCGAAC